GTAAACACTTGGTAGTATCCAGAAGAATAAATAAGGGAAGAGCAAATTCAAGTGTACACTTGACTGTACGATATAAGCAAGTCAAGTGCCATGTCTCCATTGACACTTGTCTGCAATAGTGTTCTTTCTGAAAGTGCAAACAGATTACAAGAGACTGTCATGAAAGTATCTGTATAAATTTCTGTTTGTTCTTATCTTTGCTGCTTGTTTATTTGAATACCAAGAATTAACACTGATAAGAAGAAATGAGTTGCCAAAAATGGTAAATTCTGAAAATACTGTATCTATTTCAAGATAAGCATATTTAATGTACACATACATAATTGAGTAATTTCAAGAAAGAAAGCTCAGACATAATCGGCGAAGCTTTGATTCCATTCAAAAAATCACAATTTGCTAAAATAATACTTGTCCTTCACAAGGATACATTGTCGTAAATATGTATTTAAGTATTTGTTAACTTAAAATTAATTACTTTTATTTGTTTTCAAAATGTATTAATATGTTTCTCTGCTGAATTATCTTAATATGTCATCATCAGTATATGGGCCAAGTATATATAGTAAAATAGTACTTTGATACACTTGCTACATCTTAAGCAAGTCCTAGGCCACCCAATGTTGAGAGGTTATGATAAGTGGTTAAAAGGTACTGACTAGGTCACGAAATCTGGGTTGCAAACTTTTCTCCACTAAGACCAGTCTTAAAATGACTGTTGCTAAAATGATTACATGAAAGCATGGGACATAAGGTCTGTTAAATTATTCCGATGGAGTGTTACTAAAAACCCCTGATAGGAGGGACAGGGAGCTGGGATTGACATGTGAAACAAGATTGTTTCTAACCTAAATAAAAAAATAATTATTATTGTTTAAAAATAAATAAAACCCCCGAGAGCATTTGGAGTTTATGGTTCTGTTCACTCATCTTTCTGGTGATGTAGCGTGATCCCCTTCGTTAGCTTGTTGTCTGGCTAGGACTTCTACTGTATCATGCAATTGAAACTTTGCTAGTAAGTCTGTAAGATGCAAGGGCACAGACTATAACAGCACACACGCTGAAGAAAAAGCTTGTGAATTTGAGAGGGGTGGGGGTCATGAGAAGAGTCTGGGGTGGGAGAAGAACGGGAAAATGGTGTAAATACAGCGCTCTTACCTGAAATTCTCAAAAAGGATTATGAAGAAAGATAATGAGGTTTTATTCATGTCTGACCTTGTAAAGGACAGCCACACAATGCTCTACTCAGTTGGAGGAGCTCACTGGAGCTCAAGCGTGTGAGCCTTCACCATTGCCCTAGGATCAAGAAAAAAAACCTACTTATCTAGTAGTCCAACAACAACAACAACAACAGCAAAGTTTGTAGACTAACCATGTTTCAGATAATTGGGCCATTTAAAAAGCAGCATCATACATCCTTATGATTTAAAGATGTAGAAGCAAAAAGTATGTCCATAAAGTATGTGTGCTTATCCTAGAAGATGGGGAGCCTGCAGGCTCTTCAGAGGTGTGGCCAGTGCAGGACCCAAGAGGCGCCACTAAAGACAGAGAGCATCCCTAATGGAATTGTGCCCAGGGCAAGTAGCTCTCCTAACCAGCTGCTGGGTTTGCCAGACACTTTCTTCTCTTTTGGAAAATAAGGCTAACAGGGTAATGAGACAGCACAGTGGGTAGAGGAACTCACCTCCAGACCCAGATCCCCAAGTTCAAGACCTCCAGACCAGGACACCCGAGTGAGTTCAGTCCTCGGCCCCCGTGGTAGAAGGAGAGAACTGACTCCGGCAAGTTGTCCTGTGACCTCCCCATGTGCATAGCTGCACACATGGGCGAACATGCACACACATACACATTAACTAGTGCATCTCTCAACCCTCATCTGAGAAGCTTTGTTTTGCAGCAGACATCTGGTCACAGTGTAGATGGCAAGAGGCTGGGGAGGGCTGCGTTCTAAGTGGGACACCTGTATCACACACACACACACACCCTGCCAAGGCCCGGGGATCATTGCTGAAGACGGGGCAGAAAGATGGGAAGAGCCAAAGGTGGTGAGAGACTACAAAGAAACAGTTCCTGGAGAGAGCTGGGCAGTTGCACATACGAACTCATAGTGATTAGGAATATATATATATATGGAAGGCTCAAGCCAGACAAAAATCCCAGCATGGGAGTGGGGAGATATGCAAGAAATCCCACCCCAACCATGGTACGAGTGACAATTGATAGCTGCGGGGACAGGAGAATTTGTTTCCTCTAAGAGTGCAGTGCTTGGTCGGTCGACCACCTTCCAGTTGGGTGAGTATGGTAGGGGTATTGATATGGGGGAGCTGGGGAAGAAAGGGTGAATACGATCGTAACACAGTGTGCGAAATTTTCAAAGAGTTCATCAGTGTATTTTCAATGTATACACAGAGAATGATGATCAGATGCCAAAACGCTTTTCAGGAGTACAAAATAAAATGATGAGATGAAGTGCATGTTCTGGAATAAATAAAGATAAGTAAGAGCATTAGTGCACGAGAGTGTTTGTTCCTTTACTATTGCCAGCTGCTTTTGCATCAGCAAATGGGGTTCTGCATCTGAAGTCCTGCAAAGGAAAGCCTTTGTGTGCAAACGAAAGCCTTTGCACACAGGGACAATGGTGCTTTGGGAAGCTCCTTGCTGGTCCAGTCCATGGAGTCTGGGACCCTGGGCTGCACTGTGTCAGTTGCCTTCTGCTTCTTTGTGCATCAGAAATCCCAGGTACTAAACACTAAATGCTAGGTTAAAACAAAACAACAGCTGGGGGTAGCATTATTATAATTACGTTATTTTAAACTAAATATAGACCAAGCATCATATACACTATCCATCTTTCACGTGAAGGAGTGACCTTGCTAAGGCACTGCCAGCACATGCTAAGCTTGCATCCAGCTGTGTCCAGCTGTGCCCAGCTGATGATGTCTACATTGGTGCTGACAGCATCCGGTTTTGAGGACTGGGAGGGTGAGAACAAAGATCTGGCATCTGTAGCAGCTGCATCATGGACATCAGGCCCATGTGGTGGTTGCCTAGTGATGTAACTCAGGCCCAGGCTGAGTCGGGTGGGGGGGGGGAATAAAAGAACAGAACCCACACCTGGCAGCTCATGGAGTTCGTGAAAGGTACAATCAGGATTCTATAGATGGGATCTGTCTGTGCCATGGCTAGACATCTTATTGTCTTTCTCTAATTTCTATAGCAGTCAAGTTATATAACCCACTGGGTCTCTAAAGAGCTGTTTGTAATATACTGTATAAATTCCAAGCGTGTGCACACCTCCGACGTCTTAATTAAAAGGGCCTGCTGGTATAAGTAAACACATATGCTGCTGCCTGCCCACCCTTTAGGGGGTCAACAGTGGGGAAATCCTGCTGGCTTCTGTTAATTGTTGCCCAAATTTTTAATAGGAACTGTCGAATGATCTTGTTTGGCCTTGACCATCTGGCCTTCTGAGCTCACTTGGCAGTGAGACACAGAAATTGGTCGTGTGGTGAGGCTGACTTTTCGGAGGCTACCTTGCCACGTGCATGTGTGTGCAAGGGTGACCCACAACTCACCGGACAAGCTGCATGCTTATGTACATGGTCTTTCAGATTAAGTCAGATGTCACCAGATTGCAAAGAAACTACAAAAATGAGAGTTTTCACATGTATCAGATTAGAGGCCATTACTAATGTATTTTGTACTTGGTCAAAGACAATGAAAAGCACTCTGATGTTTTTGTAGTTTTGATAAGACAGTGTTGTGTGGTTGTATGTTACATGCACATACAAGTATATATGCATATGCAACAAAAATTGGTGATAAAAAGAGGCCATGACTATGAAAGGGGGCAAGGAGAGATACATGAGAGGCTTCAGAGGGAGGAGAGGGAAGGGAAAATTTTAGAAATGAGCTAGCTAATTTCCATATATTTGTGGGGTTCTCCCCTTCAGATTTCTTGGTGTTCCCGATTTCAAATTCTTTTCACTGTGCTTTATTTTGTGACTTCAGAATTTCTGTAGCTTGTATATTGGACTAAAATATGATTGGTCTTGGAGAATGTTCCACATATGCCAGAGAAATGTGTGTGCTTGGTTGGGTAATTAATTCTGTACAATTCTTTGAAATACAGTTGGTTTATAGCATGTTCAAGCATCATGGGTTTTTTTGTTGTTGTTGTTAATTGATATCTAGGTCTTATCTATTACTGAAATCAGGGTGTTGAAGCATTTACTTCAACTGTTATTGCTGAACTGCTTCTATTGGTAAGTCTCCCAGTGTCTTCTTGTGTGTTTGAGGGTGTGTTGTTGGGTGCACACATGTTTGCAGTGGTGACATAGTCCAAAAACATCATTATGCAAAGCCTCCCTTTGCGTCTTTCTAACTTCCTGACTTTTACCTCACGCCAGTGTTGCTGCTATGTTTATGTTAATGTTATTTAGCCATGTTAGCACAGGCCCTCACAAGCATCTTGTGTGAGTGTCACATTAAGACACCCATAAAAGAAAAAAAAATATTTTCTAACTCAGACATTTTGCTTCAACAGTGAAGATAAAGACCAGAGCTTTGGGACTCCTGTGTTGCTCCACCACAGAACTCTCTAGAGTCTGTACCTGCCTATTTACTTCCTGTGATATAAAGCTGTGTGCAGAGGAAGGGGCACGTCTGTTTGCACTTTTAGCATTTGGTATCTCGCTATCTCCAGGGTGAATGGAAGTAGGCAGCCTGCCCTCACACCACCTCCAATGTTGCTTGCAATGGAAATCTCTCCCTGGTGACTCACTTATTTGGTATGCTGCAAGCCAGAATATCATTGAGACTAGCACTTCAAATGTGAGGCTCTGGGTCAAATCTGCATCTCAATGTGATGCTTAAGGATCCTTGCAGGAGGGTTAGTTACACAACCTTCTCTCAGAGGCCCCCACCAATCTACACCCCCGCCCCCCTGCTCTCCTTGTGCTTGTGGATACAGAATTTGTTCTGACTCAACTGTCTGTTTCTAGCTTGCAGGGATGACATCACTTGGGAACTTAGAGTGGGTTAGAAAGGATTGATCCAGTGTGAGAAATTCTTCCAGGATGCAAATGAAGAAGAAAAAAAAAAAGAACCCGGTGGACATGGACACAGCCCAGAGTGGTGAGGATGAGTGACTGATTTCCAATTCGCCCACAAGTCACCCATTTAAGGGCACACAGACACATAGTCACACTCACAGCCTCACATCTCGGCCTCCACGCTTATTTCCTTGGAAAAATTTTGCCCCTCGTTTATTCATATTTTCCTTCTCAGTGACGTATCCCAGCCAGTGGTCACATATCCAAACCTCCAGGTGCTATCTGTGTCCCGGGGGTTTGTGAGTCAAGATAACACAGGTGAAGCTCCTGGCATTTTCTCTCCTGTTCTACACCTGATAACGCGTGAATGTGGCTGATGGGACATGCCTGTCAGATGCCATGGCGATTATTCTAAAATGAAAATAGGTTTTGAAACACAAAGGGGATCTCTTTAACTTCAAGTACGTAAGATTGTTTACGTTTGTTCATTTTAGCTTAAATGCAACCCGAAGCAGCCTAGAGTCATGACTTTTGCAACACTGGCAGTATTCCTAATATGTCTATTTTAGTCTCTAAATAATTGATGTGTCTCAGTTTACAAGTGATACCACACAGCCTCACCGCTTGGGTTTTCATACACTTTAATCTACTGTATTAAATTATAAATACCATGGCATGGACTTATCAAGCCTTGAGTAAAACTTTCCTTGGGAAAAACAATGTTGTCTATATCACCCCCCACCTTAGAGTCATTTCTTTGTGTTACACAGCACTCAACCCAGCACAAGCGTGGAATGGCCTCTAGAAATACACCTGCGACCTCCCCTTCCTCCTTGGTTTCTTATTTGTGAAAGAATGTTGAATCTTGCCAAGGTATGTGCAGCCAATATTTCCACTGACTCTTACCCAGCCAGAGCCTTCCTTCTGGAAGCACAGTTCTCAGGGACTTCGTAAATCATGTCCTGGTGTGGAAAGCTATCTGCTGTTTTGAAAGCTGAAAATAACTTTATTTAATCCAACGATAAGCGTGAAGCTAGTTTTGACATTGCTTAACTTCAGCAATTAAAAATAGTCATTTCCTTTTTCATTTCAATCACCTGTGAAAAAGCAGGGTCTGTGCTAATAAAATTTGCTCCCTGTAGAAAGTTTTCTTTCACTAAACTCTTCTCTACGTTTGGCTTAAATGTTTCAGCACCCCTGTCTTGTGTAATTATTTCCTTAAACATTTTGGAGAATTAGAATCACAACCACATTTTAAAAATCTTTTATGTGTAGGAGGGTTGTTGTGCCCACGAAGATGTCTATGCACCAACTGTGTGCAGTACCTGTGGAGGCCAGAAGAGGGATCTGGGTTCACTGGAACGAGAGTTACAGACAGTAGTTGTGAGTTGCCATGTGGGTGGTGGAAATTGAATCTCGTCCTCTGGAAGAGCAGCCAGTGCTCCTAACCGCTGTGCCATCTCTCTGGTCTCCAAATACAGTTTTAGTTTTCAAATAAAACTTCAGTTTCATTTTATCCTCCTGCCTCATGCCGGGTGAGTGCTATGGTCTTCAAATGCCATTGGTATCACTTGGTATGAAGGGTTTCACTCAAAGTTCAGTTGCTTTTAGGCTTCAGGATGGGGGCTGGGGATGCTTCAGACACATCCACATAGGAACATTGTGCCATGCCATGCCTTGCCTTACTCTCTGCTAGAATCAATGTTCCTCGGCTCTGGTCTTCTTGCCTTTGAGGTGTTGATGATGATTCAGAACACGTGTTCAAGGGATCGTCAGCTAATTTCCCCATGGGTCAGTTTTCTGCATGCTGAGCATTGCTACCATCATATAGCAACAGCCTTCCTACAGCAAAGCTTCGGAAAGAGCCAACCAGGAACTTTTACCTTTCAGCTGCAGCCCTGGTCCTGGCTCTCCTTCACTGTCTTCCATCCCCCAGCACAGCATAAGCCCATCGGTATCTGTGGCCCCACACATACTTCACAAGCCTTTTGTCCTTTGGCAAGGGCCGGGCATTCCCACCGAGCCACCATTTTTGAGGAAGTGAGCTCACTGCCTGAGGAGCTCTAAAGTAGATTTTGTTTCTTTTCACACCCGTCTTTTGGGTGACTGGTGGATGACGAGGGGAAGTTAGGTTAGAGAGGTCCATAGTAGTCTTTTTACCTTCATACAGCAATAGTAATAAGATGCCTAGTTGTCATTTATTCAGGGTTCTAGACACTCAGCTGTCTGAAGAAAAAGATGATTCCATCACAAGTAACAAAGGAACACACCAGAGAAAACCCAGACACAGACAAATGCTTCAGGAACACGGAGGGACTTTGTGTCATTCTACTGCACATAGGAAATGACTTGGCCAGAAATCAAGGATGTGTTTAGTAAAGCAAAAAAAATATTAGTAACTAATAGTTAACTCTAAGGGCAGATTTATCAATCTAATTCTAGAGGCTGGTAGGGATGGCTCAGTGGATAAGAACACTTGCTGCTCAATACTGAGGACCTGGGTTCAGATGGTCATCACCCACGTAAAAATAACCACTGTACTCTCAGTGTGCACGCGTGCACATACACACACACACACCATGTGCATGAACCACACCACACATAAAAATAAAACAAACAGCATCATAAATACATTTTTAATAACTAGAAAGATGATCTTCTGAAAGTTCAAATAAATGCTTAAAACTTTAGCTTTTAAGAAAAATGGATTAGCAAATAGGATCCACTCCCTACTTCTTTGAAAGCTCACACACATATGTACAATAAAATATGATTATGTTTACCTCGCATTACCCTCTTCCATCTCCATCCATGTCCCTGCCAATATTCTCCTTCCCAAATTTATGTCTGTTCTTTCTTAAATAACCCTTTAAATCCAGTTAGTGCATGGGTGTCCGGTCATTCATTGGAGCATGGGAAACCTACCAGTGACCACACTAGTTTACACTCTGCCCAACAAGTCTAAGAAATCCGCTTGAGCCTCATCTGGTCCAGAATCTGATATAATTTCAAATCCTGGTGCCGAACACTCTGACTGGGGCGAAACAAGAACGCCACTTAGCACCCTTAGCCACCAGCAAATTAATTTTTAGCCATTCTGGTCAACATTCTCTATAAACAGTGTGATGTGTAATTAAGAGTGAACGTTAGAACCAAAAGAGGAAGACCAGAAGTGAAGAACAGACCAGAAGTGAAGTTCCCAGCTGCTTGAGCTGTGTTTCAAGGTTGACACACACTTTCACTGAAAAGTCTGATAGCAAATTAATTGTCCGTGTCCTATTAGCAAAAGAAAACCAGTGACAAGGAGACCAGTCACTGACAGGGACCTGGCTTCTAGATTTCTCACACGGATGCTCACACTGCTCAGGGAATCTTCACTGAGCATACCTAGCTAGGTCATTAGGGAGAGCACTGAGATAGTTATGACTGGATGGCACGACTTCTTCTTGAATTCTCTGCAGAAATCCATCCACTACACACGTCCTCACCCCCTCCATATATATGAAGAGAGGGACAGGGACAGGGACAGGGAGAGAGACAACAAGAAAAAACACTAAATGGCAAAATTACTTTTATTGGTGAGAGTAACAAAAATGACTATTTTCTTCATACTTTCCAAAAAAAATTTATACAATGAGTAGTTATCACATTTGTTATTGAAAAAATATAGCATTTTTAACGGGAAGAATACCAGCTAACCTATAATCATCCTCTCTGATGTCTACGAGCTGTCAGAGATTGCTTGCCAACTGTTTCTAAAGTTAATCTTCTTTTACTAAGGCTAATGCTCAGAATGAATAATATTGATAATGCGGATATAAATGCGTGATAAATTAAAGCCAAGGGACCACAGTAATGTAGAGGCCGTCACCTTGTAGGGAGAAGTCTTTATAAATAAATAATCTCATCCCTGGACAGTCACACTCAGTGTCATCATTTCTTCAATCTACTTTTATTGCCAAAGTATTTCTGGCATCCATCTTGACTTACAAAAGTTAAATGGTCTAATCCATAGGGAGGAAACGATAAAATATCTGCATAGCATACAGCTGTATTTGTAAATTTGGCCAGTACACTGATTTTTCAGATCCCCGAAACAATCAGAAGAAAAATGCACCAACACATACAAACAGCACAGACAATGTGTTAAAAATAATTTTAAGAAACAACCCAAACAGAAAGTATAATAACATAAAACACAAATGCAAATCCAAGAACAGCCTTTTTTTTATCATATTCACACGTTAATTATTTTAAGACATAGATTGAAAGAAAACCATGCCCAGATGCAGTCACAGAGCAAAGCACAGCTGCTTAAGCAAGTCATGATGCAAAGTGACTCTGAGAGGTCGGGCGGGGGAAGCTTGCCAAGTCCAGAAGTTCAGTCATTCAGCGCAGAAAGACAGACGCCCGAGGGGCAGCAAATGCTTCGGCCCGACCTACCAGGACGATCTGGATTTCTTAACTTGCTAAGCCCCACAGTAAGTCCCCAGCGCCCCAGCTGGTGGCGCTGTTTGGAGTGGTTTAGAAAGAGTCACTTTGTTGGAGGAAGCTCATCCCTGTGTGCAGTCTTTGGGAGTTCAAAGCTTTACACCCTCTCCAGTTGGCGTTCAGTTTTGTGCTTATGGTGAAAGATGTGACCTCTTGGCTTCTGCTTCTGTCCCAGTGTGGGCTGTTTAGTGAGTGCCCTGCCTTCCCCGCCGTGATGGACACTTAGCCCAAATAAACCCTCTCTCTTCCTTGTGTAGCCTGGGGTCACGGTGAGGCTTGCCCGCCTTCCTGAGTAGTTTTTTCTCTCTCCTTTTCTGTTGCCTTCTTTCTGGTGCTGCACAGAACCTGAGTGTTTGTTTTCCTGGCATGGCTGGTTTCCCACCCTTTCCCCTAAAGCTCCTCTCTCCTGAAGCTGCTTGCCTACCACGCGGCTGAGTTTTGTGTCAACACAGCTTCCCCGTTGACTCTCCTGCTCTGGGCCATTGCTGAGATTTCCAGTTTGCTTTCCTTTGTGTTTTTCTTTTAAAATCTAATAAAACTGTCCTCACGCTTAAAAAAAAAAATAAGAACAAGAAAAAAGGGAGAACGGGAGGGACTGCATTCCTACATCTAATTCTATTACAACATTTTTTAAAAATGTGTGATGTTAACTTTTATTTTTTCTACACTTCATGGCTTTCTAAAATATTAGTTTCGTTGTTTGAAAGTAAATGTTGGTGTGTGTACACAGGTGGGCACGTGCGCGCGAGTGCGAGCCTTCCCAGAAGCGAGAGGCTACAGATCTCCCTGGAGCTGACGTCCCGGTCAATTGTGATCCTCCTGACTGAGCACGGAGATCGAGTCCAGGTCCTCTGCAAGAGCACTCCATGCTCCTAATCTGCGGTGCACCTCCCCAGCCTTATTTTTTGTCGTTAGTCAATAAAAAAAAATTAATCTAGGGCTGGGCGGTGGTGGCGCACAACTTTAATCCCAGCACTCGGGAGGCAGAGGCAGGCGGATCTCTGTGAGTTCGAGGCCGGGCTGGACCGACAGCCTCCAAACAATACAGAGAAACCCTGTCTCGTTAAAAAAAAACCAATAATAATAATAATAATAATAATAATAATAATAATAATAATAATAATAATAAATCTGTATATTTTTCATTCTACACATAGAAAGGACATTGGGACCATAGATGAACGAGGTGTGATTCCTGCCCTCAGAAAAGCCAAACTTGAGCAGACCTCAAGCTAGCCAGCAAGTGTGACGAATGGAGAGTGGCCTGTGGGGCGCCCGCGGTGCAGACACCCTCCTGCATCTGGGGATGCTGCCGCCTTGAACTTTCTCTTCCTTCCCTCATTCTTCCCTCTCTCCCCGCCCCCATCTTTCCTCTCCCTGATGTTTGTAATGCTCCCATTGGGCAAATCCATCTGAAATGTACAGTGTTATCCTTCCCCCTTCAGTGACTTCATGGGGTGCTGTGAAAACAAAACCAATTTTAGCATCAAAGGATATTTTCAAGTATTTTTCTTCACTAAGCAAGCTGTAAGAATCCTCAGCTGTTGTGTTGCCATGGTGAACAGAGTTGAAGTGATATTTCTAGTCAGAAACGAAAATCTATAAAGCGAATGTTAATATGAAACAAACTCTCTCGGCGTCGGGCTCGGTGCATTGGGGGTCTGGCGGAAGACTCTACCCTCTGGGCACACAGAGGCTGTTGCACAGGCAGGGAGCCTGGGGCTGGCTCAGGGACAGCCCGTTTCTGTGTCCGTGGAGCCTGCTTTGAGTAGCGCAGTACATTGGACTTAATTAAGAGTGGACTTAAAGTGTAATTTCGAGATAAAAATCGGTGCACAAATAGAATGCCGTTTTCCTGTCGAGTTTGCTTTATAAAGTTGGCTTTGAAACGGAAGTGGGATGGAAAGATTTTTCAGATTAGCGAATTCTAAAAAAAAAAAAAAAAATTCTGACTACAGCGCAACTGTGAAAAGCGCCAGAGAGACACGGCAGGCAAGCTACAGAGAAGCCGGGGCAGACAGGACAGCAGACACACAGGAGGGGCATGAAGAGTAGCGGGCGTGGGAGAACCGTACAATCCTGCACTGAAATGGACACTCGGCAATAAGCAGGGAAATGAGCGCAACACCAACAGGAACCGAAGCATGGGGTGGGGTGCGGCGGGGTGGGGTGGGGTGCGGCGGGGTGGGGTGGGGTGGCAGGCGTTGGCACGTGGCTTTCACTTGAGATAAGCTCTTGGGTCTGTGGTTTCCATTTTCTTAGTGGTGTCTCTCATAACCAAAGCTCTCCACGGTAATGAACCCAACCCAGCAGCCCCCCTCTTATGATCATTTTCTCAGAAGTCTTTGTCCCTCCAAGGACACAGAGATGTCTCAGTTCTTAGGATGTCTTCCCGTTGCTTCCTGTGTTGGTGTAATGTTCAAGTGTATATTCACCTCACATTTTGTTTTAAAAAGCTATAGACAGGTGTAGGCCATGGTTCCAGCACCGTCTGTTTGGGTTTTCTCTCCCCTACATGTTAACAGACTTTCTTCTGTTTCTCATCTAGATCTCATTGACCAGGGTGAGTGCTGCTATCCCGGCTGCAGGAGGTCACTGTGGTTCCTAAGACAATTAAGTCAGCGTCATCTTAATCATGGTAACTGACTGGGGCTGCCGTACAACAAAGGATCCATGCAGACCTGTGACATAGATAATAGGAATTAATTTTCTCCTATTTCTGGAGATTTTCATTCATCCTCGATGAAGGGTAAAATTAGACATATACCAAATAATTGTTTCAAAATGTGAAAGTAATAAGAAAACACATTATTTTGTTTTCTTACTATACGTACACACATACATATACACATATATGCACACACACATACATAAGATGGATATATATTCATACACACACGTATATGAAGAGGTCTTGAATTTGAGAGGGAGTCTAGGGGTACATGGGAGGAGTTTGAGGGGGAAAGGATGGGTGGAAATTCATTATTTACATATAAAATTCTCCAAAAAACGTAAACAAGCAAAAGAACTCTACACCTCCTTGTGACTTACTGCAACTGTGTGATTCCCACATCTACTTACTGATCATGCAAAACTTTGTTGGGTGGAAATGTTAGGATTAAAAAAAATACTAAGGAGCCCTACATTATGGTTTGTATTCATTATTCTTCATGTAGAGTCTGCTTTTCAATTACACAGTATATGCTATTCATCGCAGTCACTGTGATGTAAAAATAATTTCAAGCTTACTCTTTCTGACTAGACTATCTCATCTTTGACCAGCATCTCTCCATTCCCAAACTCTGTTGATGACCATACTCCATACCAGAAGGTGCGCTTAAGAATTCCTTATACTTATGAAATCATGAGTGCTTGTCTATTTGTGCCTGGCATATTCATTTAACATAATAATGCCCTCTTAGTTCATTCAAAAATCTCAGGAATGACAGGATTTCCCCTTTTTGTAGTGTAATATTTCACTGTGCAAACATATCAATTATTTAATCATAGTGCTTATGCACTATGTTTTTCATCCTTATTAATTCCAGCCTCTGAGTCATCTTTGTTCTGACATTATTGACTGGGTATTTTTATTGTAGTGTTGCATTTCAGACTATTTGCATGTGTCAAAATTGTAGGATGTTTGACAATTTGTGTAAAGATCAGCAGAGAGAACATGCAAGTCGAGGAAGCTATGCAATGCTCTTTTGAAAGGAAATACGGTTTCCATAGGAAAAAGGCCTACATTATTGGCTGTCACTATCAGGTCAAATCAACTGGGGCTCTTTCTCTAGTTTCAAATCGGGCTACCAGAAGTGTCTTTCACCTTCCTCCAGTGATAACTTGATGCACCCATGGAGAGACTTGAGGTACTTACCTCCCTTAAATCACGCAGCATCAGCTGGGTTGCAGCTTCAGTTACTGGGTTCTTTAACCCTTCCACCTCTAAATGAACACCGGAGATACACTCGCATCTGCCCACTGATGCAGGAGTGTCAAGTGTAACTCCTTGGCCTCCTCCTTCAGGAGTTGTGGTCCTCAGCACACATCTCACAACTCCCTCGCCACCATCGACTCCCTGCACCATATTCAGTGGGTGGGTAGAGTATGGTCAGACATTTACAAGTGAGTTACTGTGTTCCAGGGTGCCCCCTGCTCCGTGTGACTCCACCCACTCTTCTTATAGCAAGTTGCTGATGTGGGGGTAGTTCTTCAAATCTGAATCTGATCAATCCACCGACTTAGAATCCTGACAAAACCATGCTTCTTAGTTAGGGTTTCTATTGCTGTGGTTAAACATTTTGACCAAAAGCAGGAAAGGGTTTATTCCATTCATACTTCCATATAACAGTTCATCATCGAAAGCCGGGAGGACAGGAACTCAAGCAGGGTAGGAACCTGGAGGCAGGAGCTGATGCAGAGACCATAGAGGGGTGTCAGTCTGGTTTCTTATAGACCACCCAGGACCACCAATCCAGGGATGGCACCACCCACAACAGGATGGGCCCTTCCAATCAATCTCTAAGAAAATGCCTCTCAGCTGGGTCTCATGAAGGCATTTTTCTCAACTAAGATTCACTCCTTTCAGATAACTCTAGCTTGAATCAAGCCGACATAAAACTAGCCAGCACACCATGTGTCCACTTTCCTAAATCTAATTTAAAAAGAAAAATCCTCTTTAGTGAGTACATGTGTGTGTGTGTGTGTACACACAGGGCCCTGATGCATTTATAGATTTGTTATTAAGAGCTAAGTATGGTGCACCTTGGTAGCAAGCGTCTCTGTGATGCAGAGCCCTGCACCAGAGCAGATGTTTTACTAAAAGCGTATCTGGAGGCCCAGGTGCTGACGGCTGCCAGTTTTTCTCAGAACATTTCTGTCTTAGCCATGAGTCACAGCCTACTTGCGTGCCTCCAAGTTACTGGATGCTGCGGAAGATAAGGCCTTCAGTGTATAATTTCAGCTGCGTGGTAGCATAATGTTTTTTCTCCTATTCAAGTTAATAGTTAATTAAATATTTTGTTCTGCTGAGAAAAAATTCTTTAGAGTCTCTACCCGCTGGGTTGAGACATGGTTGAAGGTCTTTACACCTTGCAAACCCTTCAGGGTTGGGAAGAAGAATGCTGAAAGACACCATGTTTCCTTTGTGTCTCATCCACTGACGAACACATGTGTTTGAAGATTCCTTTTTGCCGAGTGAATGAGTGAGGGAAGCAGAAAATAAAATAAAAATGAAGCACTATCGGGCCCGTGACAAGAAATTACTCATGGATATTATGAATCATTGTTTTTGAATGAAAGTAAAGTGTTGAATCAGGGGCAAACCTGTTATCAAGTCACAGCTGCTGCTAGATTTCACCTGAACGACAAAGAAGTCACGCATGCACCGTGGAGAAAGATACGCAAAATGCAACCAAAAGACATGTTTAGAGCTTTTTGCTTTCTTTTCTTTCTTAAATCTCCCCTCCAACCCCCCCTCTTGCCAGCAACCATGATTTCCATCCAGTTTCATGAGTTCTATTGGAAAAACATAAACCATTGAGGTCACTTAGCTCTGTCTGTCTGTAGATGGAGGTAGGGCCATCTGCTGGGTCGTAGGTAGTCAGTCTGTTGGAGGCCTCGCCCTTGAAGAAGGTTTATTTCCAAGCAACTGTGGATTGCCGATAGCCCCTCAGCCAAAGGCGACGACACCTCATGAACTCTGGCGTAATTTTGCATAGAGTATTTTTTTCCATGCTATCACAAGTGTTGTGAGCTCATATGTGCAGCTGTCTAAAGGTGACCAGAAAATGCTGCTTTGCTGAAGCTGTCTACAGCCTTGGTTTCTCACGGTTCCACCGCTCCATCCTTCCTTAATGTTCCCATGGCGTTGGGAGGCGTGAGCATGATAGAAATGT